CCCCAAAACCCCAAAACCCCAAAACCCCAAAACCCCACTATAAGTACTTATAATTGAAATTTAAAACAATAAGAAATGGGGAGTGCATGTAGCTCAAATAAGAAAAGAGTAAAGAAACCAAAGTAAGTATAGTAAATCCTCAAAGCAAACATAAATTGGAATGCTGAAAAGTAAAAATGAATTAGATCTGGGTGCTAGATACTTTTAAAAATTGCCACCTTGTTTCTAAACTGCACTTCTTGCATTATATTGACAAGATCATTTCAAACTAAATTAGCCAATATTGGAGATGACTTCTTTAGCATTTAAGACTTAAAACAGAGCTTAAATTATTGAAAAGGCTTATCTATATGAAAGCTTTAAAGCAACTTGAATTCAGTAAATTTGTCGTAATATCTTTAATAATTTGAGACGTGCATGCTTGAGAAAATTAAATAACAATTGGTGAAGAGAATGAAAATATCCCAATAAAAATTTGAAGCTTTATAACAAATTATATAGATTTTTAAGGTTCTTTAAGACAAAGTTAATCAAATCATTTGAAATTATAAAAGGAGGATTAATTATGCTATCTTTTAAATTTTCATTCTTCCAAATCTAAATTATACTAAAGCTTTAATCCTTTTGGAGGATACAATCGAAGAACATGGGGTTTATTTTCCTTCTTAATCTCTCTTAATTTCATAAAAAATCTGATTTATACAATTGCATTCGATTTTTCAAGAAATCAACCTGAAAGACCACTTCTTTGAGTAAATTTTATGCTAAATGAGCAACTGACAAGGAAATCTTAAATTGAATTTACTCCCATAAGCTTGTTCACCAAATTAGACAAATATATTGGATGTATTCCATTCCCCATGTCTTGTATATATTCTAGCGTTACATGATATGACTATTGATTGTCATTTGATTCAGAACTAGCTATCTTGGGTATGATAAATCCGCACCTAATTTTACTAATAGACTTAAAAAGGCTAAAGAGGATGCAAACTCAATCAGAGATTACAGTAAATCTAAGGATTGTAAGTATATTTACATTTCTACAAGGTCTTTTGAGCCTATATCACTATTCTGGCCTCTATTATATGCACCCTTGCTTAAGGAAGCATGCTAGACTCCAACCTACATTTTTGGTGTAGAAGTGTTTGCCAAAATTTTTAGAATCTGGGTAGCCTAATCATGCCCAAATTGACCATCATTTAATATAGTCGAAGAACAAAAGCAGATCTCCCTAGCACAAGAAGTGGATGACACTGGAGATAAACCTGCAGAAAGCAGTACCCCTCCACAAATTAATGAAAAGCCAAAGAAGAAGAAACACAAAAAGAATAAAAAGAATAAAAAAGAGAAAAAAGAGAAAAAGTCAAAAAATTCCAAAAAGAAAGAAAATCCTCCTTCAGCTTCTTCTTCAGTTATAGAAGAATCGTCAATGCGTAAGTCTTATAAACTTACAAGTTAGTGGAAATACCGATAGAAAACAGTAACAGCATTGAACAAGATGTTGCAATCACAGGAAAAGTCAGGTCAATGAACATTCTCCCCAGCAGGAACAAGATCAAAAGAGAGCAGTCATCAAGCAGCTCCAGTGAAAGCGGTGAAGTTATAGAAGATGACTCTGAAAGTAAGTTTAAACAGATCCCAAGTAATCTTTTCTGTAGTGCATCCTAATAAAATTAAACCAACAGAAGAGATAAAGAAGAGAGGAAGGAGTGCTATTAAATCAGGCTCTGTGAAGAAATCTCAACCAAAATCAAACTCGATAATACAACTCATAGAAAAAGCAAATTCTGAGAATTATGAAGCTGTGATAGATAATCTGAACAAAAACCAATATTCATTAAAAACAGGCTTAATGATACCAATGGAAGAATTTGTTCGAAGAAATCCTGAAAAAGAACATAGAGCAGCTACTTACTTAGATTACTCAGCTGAAGACGAGCTTTATGGGGTATTTAAAGCCTTAGAAACCAAACAGTGGAAACTCTTCAAGTATGTATTTGAGAAGAAAGGATCTATCTGGAATGAAAAGCACTTAATTCCAATCATCAAGTATTTGATTGATATTGATTGGGATGAAGGACTTTATGAGCTTTTCAAACTCAATAGAACAAAAGAGATGTACCTTTCAATGTACTGAAATGAAAGGAAACTGTTTTATGATGCTCTCAAAGATATATGAGAAGACCTCGTAAATGAAATCAGCTCAAGTAATGTGCTGCTCTACCAATTAATGGAAGGGCTAGTACTAAAGCCGTATTCTACTCTGACTTTCATACACTTATTCCGCTACATACATATCAGTGGGACCAAGATACAAGCAAAGGATGTAGACCCTCATGCGTGAGCAGATGACATCTATCTCATGTTTGTTAAAAATAACAATGCTTTTGAGCTAGCCAAAAGTTTTGATGAAGCATGTGAAGGAGACATTGAAGAGAAAAAGAAGTATAAACATATTCTTACTAAACTGATCGATTATTCCTTCGTAGTTATGCCATCTGCCATCCCCATCAGCAGGATCTGGAGAAGCATCAAGATAGGTTCAGAAGATGACTTTGAGAGATGATGACAGGAAGCAAAAGCAAGCTGGCCATTCCTTCTGACTCTCAGAAAATCCAATGCAACTCCTGAGTTTAAACCACCTCTCTCGGATGATAGAGTTAAGGACCTTTTTGTTAACAAGTGGAAGCCTGTACATCTCATGATATACTTTGCCAGAAATAAAATGATCGAGCAAATCTTGTGCTTTGCAGGGAGGTCCCTTAGAAAAGCTATGACCATCGAAAATAAATAAAGAAATGACAGTTGATGAATACTTCCCTCTCATGTTGGCTATTAAATTACAAAACAGGGATACTTTTAAAGGCCTGTGGAACCTTGCTCATCAATGGTCAGTCATGCATTTATATCAAGTAATGAGAGACTTGAAGCTGCCTTCTATGTATTCAGGAGACATCTTTGAGGTTATACTTACTGACAAAACTACTCAGGATATTCTTAACTTTTGAGATACCAAAATTAAAAATGAGCTCTTTCAAATTTTTGAAGAGTGAATTGATGAAAACGGTAGGGATGAAAAGCTCAAAACAATGCTAAATGATTTGAAAATGACCTCTCCCAAACCTATAAAGGAAATAACGAATGAATCTAGTAAAACCATCACAGATGAATCATACTAGGGTTTCTAGATCACAAAATAATTTAAATAAAGTTTTAACCAGATTGAACTGTTTTAAAATTAGTTCAATATTTTTTATAGGATTTGGGGTTTTGGGGTTTTGGGGTTTTGGGGTTTTGGGG